TCAAGTTAAATTTAGAGATGGATCAAGAAGGGAAATTTGAAGTATTTGTCCAGAGTTGCATAGTGAACTCCAAGAGCCAAGAAGGAAAGCAGGGAGGAAGAAGATGGATATGGAAGCAGGTAAATGGGTCAATACGTTGTTGTTGTATACCACAGAGTTGGAACTGAACTACAGCTGACTCTACAGCGTGTTTTTACAGAGGCAGCTAACTGCACAGAGGAGACCGCCCATCTTTCTCCAGTGAAGCATCTGGTGGCCTCGAATCACATGCCTTTGAGACTGCAGTGCAGCTTCTTGCCACTAGGCCACCAGAGAATATTCATAGGGAATTTGATACCAACTTCAATGGGTCCAAAAATGAAAGGTGAGGAATAAGGGAGTAACACGTAAATTTGAAATATTAAGTCTGAGACCTAAGTACAAGAATTTTAACGAATAAATACAGAATATTAGCATGCCAACGTCATACTTGTTTTTAATTATCACTCTTGATTCTTCACTGACACTGAGAAAGTTAAGCAGGGAGAAAACTAAAATCCTACTTATTGTTTCCTACTTTTCTTTGATGGAGGATGAGATATTTATAAAGTATAAAAGCAATAGAAGAAAACAAGAACAATCAGTAGATTTAACCAACGTGAGGATTCTTTAAAACAAAAGAGTTACACGGCAAAAGCAGGGGGGATTTTTTGGCAAATTATACTAACAGGAAAAAGTATATGCAATTTGTGGGTGGTATAAACAATTTACTTTTTCACCTAGTAATTGAAAGGCTAGGCGCTCTAATGCATCCAAACAAAAGGCCTATCAATCTATATCCCCAAGATCAGCCACTGACAATATGATGGAGTACAGTTTTCTTGGGTTATAAGTAAAGTTGACAGGAGTCAGAATTAATTTGATTGCAACAGGTTAGCTGGTGGTAATTTAGATACATAGCTATGTACTTGTGTAATTTATAAAGTATATATAACTTGATTTGTTGTTGTTATTGTTGATTGCTGTTGAATTGAGCACAATTCATAGTGACCCTATGAACAAAAGGCCTGAAGCTCCTCTACAACTATGGACATTTATCAAAGTTCAGAGTTTCCAGAGGCATGTTGTTTAGGAAGTGGATGTCACTTCTGCTTCCAAAACGGGAAAACTAGACACAAATTACAAAAGCAAAAGTTGCTGTTGTTATGTGCCATCAAGTCGCCTGCAACTCATAGCGACCCTATGTATATAACAACTCTGAACCCTGTTCTATCCTGAACCAACCTCCCTATCTCTGTCTGACACACCTACCCCTACTACCCCAATCACTGAGTCAATCCATCTCATTGAGGGTATTCCCCTCCTGCCTTGTCCCTCCACCCTCCCAAGCATAATGTTTCTAAGGACTGGTTTAATAAACACATAAATGATTAATAATATTATAAGCATTCAAAAATTATATAAGAGGATAAGGATTTTAAAATAAGTATTAAAAATATGACCTTGATTTCATACCACCTGAATTTCAGAATCATCTCAGGAACAGGTTTGAGGCCTTGAACACTAATGAGCGAAGACCAGATGAGTGGTGGGAGGATGTCAAAGGTATCAAATCATCCATGAAGAGTGCAAACGGTCATTATAAAGACAGAAGAAGAAGAAAAGACCAAAATGGATGTCAGAAAAGACTCTGAAGATTGCACTGGAGCGTAGAGAAGCCAAAGCACAAGGAAGAATTCAAAGATACTAAAGAGCTGAACAGAAGATTCCAAAAGGCTGCTCGGAAT